GCACTTTGGCCGGTAAATTTTGATTAAAAAACATTTTAAAACATTTTTAAACAATTAAAAACAAAACAATCATTTGTCCTAAAATCATGTTTTAAAACATTTGCCATCCTTAGTCGTGGACACTATTAAAGAATTTTTAGACTCTACAAAATTGTGCTTCAGATAAAATTTTAGCTATTGTATTTTTTGCGTATCTCATATCAGATATGCTGAATATTTTCACAAAGCTTTTGTTTTATTTCTTTAAAAAATATGTTATGGCGAAACTAGTTTCGATTGATTATAATGAGAAAATTTATGATTTCTGATTATTCGAATTTAAATTTTCATCTATATTACATCAATTTTCTAAGTTATTTCAAGAGTTAACACATTTACCGATGTAATATTTAAAGACGTTCACTTCACAGAATTGACTATATATTTGTATACATATGTGCACGCATAATTCGAAAAATAAGACCCATATGCAGTGGCAATAGCAAATTTCGGCCAAAAGTTTTTAATATTAGCCAATCATATTTAGTGATACGCGTCGGGCGGGCGGGTCGAGGGTCGGTCCGCACCTTTGTGGGCCGGCCCGGCCGATGTATAGTTAAATTTTCTTTGGCCAATAGAAATGCATGAAAGAATAAGACGAAGTAATATTAATGTGGTTATGTGTGATTTTTGTCATTTGGTGTTTTTTTTCCGATAAACTTTTGATGCTAGGATCGGTGCGGGAACATTTTATTTACATCTTTCAAAAAAGTGTGAATGATTTCCATATACCCATGGAAATCAGGAGATTGAATAGTAAACATTAGAGATTCGTTTTCCCACGGAAATGAATGAAAAGTGGCTATAATGGGTCTTTGCGTCATCGTTTTTTTATTGACAATGATCTATTTTAAACCGATAATTTATTTATCAATTAAATTATTATTATTATTCGATGCAGATCTTTATTCAATGCAATTTTTTTTTTCATTTAATATATTTGAAAAGAAAAGGCAAAATATAAATTGAAACTGAGGATTGAATATCCTTAATTAAAATCGGCCGGCCCGGTCGACCGGGCCGATTTTTTTATCAGCCGGGTCGGCCTAGGGTTTTAGCATCGGCCCGTATCACTATGTCACTTGGCCAAAAATGCCAAAAAAATTATTTGACCAAATGCTTGTATAATAAAAGCTAATAATATGAATCATATTATTAGCTTTTATTATACAAGCATTTGGTCAAATAATTTTTTTTGGCATTTTTGGCCAATGGCCGGCCAAGTGACAACACTGCCCATATATACATACATCGCAGTTCACTCTAGTGGAGATACTGTGATAGTTTAAGTGTGTTCTGCTCGGGTTTCTTTAAAGAGTTACAATCCATTAAGCATTTATCCGGATAATTATCAGGTATTCGGGTCTGAATTTATTCGGATATCCATTTACTATTGATAACAGGTTAATTATCCGAATGCCTGCCAGATTATCCGGATATCTGAGCGATTTGAATTATTCGGATAATTAGATACGGATTTATCCGGATTGGAACTCTAGATTTAACATATGCTTTGTAAAAAATTTGCACTTTCCGCTAGCAATATCAGGATTTCAGTCTAGTGTAACATCGAAAAATTCGCAGTATTGTAGGTCACCTGATCCATATGACCAAGATTACTAAATCAGTAGTTTATTTCTGAATACTACGCGATATATAGTAAGTATAATTAGTTATTTATATAGAATTAGAACACTAAAAGTAATTAGAAGCTCGGTATATACTTTTCCCGAATCATGTATATATAGACTTTGTATTTGTATTTGCCTTATATTCAGACTTCGCTCTCACTAAATATCTTATTAAATAAATATTTTTATACATTTAGCTGTTGCCTCTTTCGATAAGGCCTTATTAAATCCTCCTTGATAAGTCGTGTATTCGACACCTCTATTATCTGCCAAATTCACATAAGTTATAATCTTCACACTATAACCAACACGTCTCCTGAATTCTATTAGAGGTGAATTCCAGGTGTGGCACTAAGTATGAAGTTATTCAATAAAGTTTGTTAGAGCAGAAATACATGAAAATTGTTTGTTTTTCATTAATGTACATTTTGTACTACTGATGTGTCGACACATCTTTTAATGCGTTTAATAATTACATAGTACAGATGCATCAATTTGGATAAATATGGTCTTAAATTGATTGTCATTGCTTCTGGCCTTGCTGGAATGCATCAAAAAAAATGAAACTCGGAAACATGCACATACGTACGTACGTACAGTACAAATATAAAAATGGAGAATAAAATGAAAAATGCATACATACGTATTGGCTGAATTTTCTTGCAGTTAGAATGTATGGTTTCTATAATCATTATATTTTATACTGTATATAAAACGCAATATATCTGATATCAAATATGCAACTTATGATACACATAATGATAATTTACTTTTCATTGAGAAGATCGAATGGAAAAAATGACATGAACATATTAGAATTAAAAAGGTTGTCTTAGAATTTCAATTTCATTTATCAGACAATTGAAGAAAATGGTATAATATACCTTTTTTAGTAACTTTTAAAAATTTATTATTTCATTATTTCACAATCAATACCATATATCGTTCGTTCATTTTTTAAGTTGCACAAATTGGCATAGTTTATTTATATTTTGAATTTTGTTCTTAACAAATAGAAATTTGCCACGAAAACTAAAATTTCCATGGCAGGAAAGATCATCAACACAATTGCCTATTCAAAAAATTCGGGAATTCTTTATTTTAATAGAATCATGTATAAAAGCAGGTTTATACTTGAGTAATGATATTTTGATCTTTCATCTTAAGTTTGTATGTTATTTTAATTTCTTTTTAATGATTTCGATTCATTTTGATGACGATTACAATGATAATAATGACGATTATTTACCTAATTCATCTCAAACAAATAATGATTGCTTAGAAATGGATACTTTAAAACGTAGGCACTTTACTACTACGATTAATCAACAACAATTCTCTAAAGCTGGATACGAACAAGTTCCTCTTGACCCTATTGACTTTGATGAGAATGGAAAATTATATAAACCGATACGTTTACCCAAAAATAAGGTGATACCTAAATCTCGCTATTATACTATGATTCGATGGCATTCTGATTTAAAATGATGCTTCCGTATTAAAGATTTTAGCTTTTTGGCAACAAAATAATGATATCATTATTCCGGCATTCTTTACTCTTTTATCTTTTTGGACGAGATATTATTTGATTTCTTATTCAAATTTTGTTGTTTGGGATGAGGTAATTATTAATCAATTCATTTTATTTACATATCGTAAAAATAATTCCATGAATTGTCTGTTTTGGATATCGATTTTTTTACAATGATATTTTTTTATTATTATCTAAAAATAAAAGGCACATTTTGGCAAGGTAATGTGATAATCAATTTCCTGATGTTTATTTGTTGAATGATATATCTTATCTGACTCTTTTTTGCGCGTTTAAAGTTTGGTTCGCATTACCTAAAAAGAGAATTTTACTTTGATGTGCATCCACCACTTGGAAAAGTGTTGGTTGGTCTTGCAGGATTGCTCGCAGGATATAATGGATCATTCGAATTCGGATCTGGTGAAACATATCCCGAAGATATTAATTACCCTTTTATGAGAATATTTTTTGCTACTTTCGGTGCCTGGATGGTTCCTTTGGCTTATTTTACTGCACTTGAGTTAAATTTCTCCCAACACGCTGTGATCTTGACGACATTAATGGTTTTACTTGGTATGCTATGAATTTATCTTTCTTTTTTTTTTTTGAGATAATTTTTTTCTGAAATATTTTTTTTTCATTTTAGATACCGCGTACCTTTGTATTAGTCGTTTTATCCTATTGGATTCTATGTTGTTATTTTTCACTTTCACTACTGTTTTTTTCTTGACAAAATTCCACAATCAACGCGATGAGTAAGCATTTCGATTGATTATTACTTTAGTTTAAAAATACCGACAGCTAAAGCTAATGGCTTTATTTTATTTCTTAGCCCTTTCTCTATTGATTGGTGGTTATGGCTTATTCTGACTGGAGTATCTATTGGATGTGTAACAAGGTTAGTAATTTATTTTTTACGGGATGCCGACGTTTTATTCTTGCATAAATTTATGGTATAAAAAAAATATTTTTATTTAGTGTTAAATGGGTTGGTTGTTTTGTTACTGCATTGGTTGGCTTGTATACTATTGAGGATTTGTGGGATAAATTTGGTGAGCTCAGCATGCCAAAGGTAAAGAAGCTCTTGATTTTATTTATTTATTAAACTATCAATAAATGCTTGTAAAATAATATTTTATTTTATTTTTTATTTTTTTTAACAGACAATTTACCTCAAGCATTGGATTGCAAGAATCGTTTGTTTGATAATATTACCAATTCAAATATACATGCTCTCTTTCGCAATACATTTCGCTATCCTCCATAATAGTGGTCCAGGCGATGCGCAAATGAGTTCCTTATTTCAAGCAGGCTTGCGTGGCAATAATTTTCACGGAAATCCTATAGGTATATTTTTCATTCACCTTTTTTTTTATTATTGAAATTTTTGATTAAAATATAAATATCATATTTCAGAATTGGCATATGGTTCAAGATTCACCCTTAAAAACATGGGATATGGTGGCGGACTTTTGCATTCTCATGTTCAAACTTTCCCTACTGGATCGAAACAACAACAAGTAACATGTTATCATCATAGAGATACGAACAATGATTGGATCATTAAAAAAATAAGAGAAGAACATGAAGAGAACAGTACAGTTGTTGAATTTGTAAAACACAATGATGAAGTCCGTTTATTTCATGCGTCAACTAAACGAAATCTTCATAGTCATCAAGTAAATGCACCTGTCACAAAGTCTCAGTATGAAGTTAGTTGTTATGGTAACGATGAACTTGGCGATCAAAACGATAACTGGATTGTTGAAGTGGTTGATGATCTTCTTGAAAATACTCCTCATATCCGAGCGTTGACAACCCGTTTACGATTTCGTCATAAAATCTTGGGATGTTATTTACGAGCCGCTAATACTATTTTGCCTCAATGGGGATTTAAACAAATTGAGGTTACATGTGATAAAAAGGACAATCCGCACGATTCTCACACGCATTGGAATATTGAGCATCACTGGAATGACAAACGTAATAATTTCATAAATGATTATTATTAGAATTTTTAATTCTAACTCATTAATCTAATGCAATTTTCATTTTTCAGTACCTCCTGGTGGTGGTTCTCATTATAGAACAATGTTCTTACATGATTTTTGGCATTTAAATGTTGCCATGTATACCACTAACAATGCGCTCATTCCTGATCCTGATAAAGAAGACATTCTTGCCTCTCATCCATGGCAATGGCCTATATTACAAGTAGGTATTCGAATTTGCGGTTGGGATGATAATGCAGTCAAATACTATTTACTTGGAAATCCTATAATTTGGTGGTCTGGTACAGCATCACTGGTTATTTTTGTTTTTGTATTTGTTTGGTATTTGATTCGACAACGACGACAGTATCGTGATTTCACACAAGGTAATCTTTTTATAAATATTAACATTCACCAATTATTCTTAGACATCATCATGTTAACAAATATTAATTTTTACCAACAGCACAATGGACTCATTTCTTATACGTGGGTAAAATAAGTTTTATCGGATGGTTACTTCATTTCTTGCCATTTTTCATAATGGGTCGTGTTACATATCTTCATCACTATTTTCCCGCTCTTTATTTCTCAATTTTAATGTGTGCGTTCATGTTGGATCATTTTACTTCAAGTTGTAATCCAATAATTAAGCATGCTATATTTGGTATCAGTTACTTGGCGGTAATATCAGTGTTTTTATATTTCAAGGATATTGCATTTGGTTTTGACTATCCTTCTAGAGAGCTTAAAGGAAGACAATGGTTTAGCACGTGGAATCTTATTGATTAAATTTTATCACTTTGGTATTAACTTTTTGGACACGAAATTTGATATAATTTATTTTATTTTATTTCTATTTTTTTTTTTCTCTCTCTAAAAAATTAGATGGTATATAGATTTTGGAACATTTTTTTGTAATAATAATACCCTAACCATCCTAGAATCGCTACAAATGTAGCAAAGTTACTGTATGGATTATCATATGACGACATTTAAATTTTCATTTTTTTTTTCCGTTGCATAATCTAATTACAAATTATTAATGTTTATTATATCGTTATGTATTTTTAAAAAATAAAAAATCATTTAAATATTTAAGATTTCGTATTATTAACTGTAATAATAGTGAAAATTCATAAGTATGTGTGATTGATTTACTGTAAGTTAGGGAAATTGCTGCCGTATAGATCTTTAATTATTTGTTAAGAAAATACCTTTTTTATGTTATTTTAATAAGATAATTTTTATTTAATTCTTTAAACTAATAATGATTAATACTAAAATTACAGTCGACAACTATATACCAAACTCTCGAAGCATTAGTGAAATAGTTTTAGAAAGTTCAGTTCAGGTTACCTGGGGATAGAAGTGAGTGGGTTAAACATTGGTGATCTGAGACATTCGTGAAACAATTACTCGAGCAATTTACCGATTTATACACATTCGTTTCAATAAAATGTGATGAGCTTTAAAACATGCATTAAGTTATTTACATAACATTATTCTGTAAATATAAAGAAAACAATTAAATTCATGGATTCACCCATTTCACCAACATACACAAAACATTTTGCCGATAACCTAATGTCTGAAAGTTAAATTCATCAAAAATTAAAAGTCATAGGTCTCAAAGTCTTTCATGAATTGGACGATATAATGAGCAGACTAATAAATAACAAAATTCTGCACTTAGATTATCTCTACATGCTTAGTATAATATACTGTTACAAAATTCACCTCACTTATTTTTCATATTTTCAGTTCTGATAAAAACTCCCCAAGATTTATATTATCAATATTTGAAATGTTAAAATTATCTCTTTATTACGGAAGAAAGTTAAATTATTAGATTTTAAATTATTTATAAATAAAAGAAATATATAAATAGTCAATTCTCTAAACTGAACCCTTTTGCTTTATTAAGAAATACATAGTCAAAAATTTAGTTTATAAATGTACAAATTTTCAATCCGAACTTTATAATAATAAATTTAAAACTTTTTAGCTTGGACAAAGTTTTAAGTGTTCAGTTTGTCAGGTTTAGTTGATTAAGAAGCCAGGAAAGTGTTCTTGTAAGCGCATATATTAATGCTTTTTCTTGTACTTGCATGATATACTTGCTAATGCCTTTCTACTAATTCAAAATATCAGTATTAGTTAGTTTGCATTAAAAATAATTATAATTTTTTATCATGAATTATAGTAAAAAAAAAACTTTATTATTAAACTTACTCGTTATTCTAGTGACCATAGTATATGGTTAAGTTTGAGTTGGTTCACATTGGGATTTGCGCTATTTTAGTAACTATAATAAGCGCTTAAGATGTGTTCGTTTGCAATGAGATTAACATGATTTATTCGTAAGTTACTAAAAAAATTGTTACAAAACTTACTATTCAGGTTAAATGAGCTTATGTTAGAATTCTCGTGATTTTTAGCATAAGTTATTTTATCGTAAACAAAATTTTGTTACAGAATTTACTCACCATTCAAGTTACCCATAATATGCAGTTAAGATTGAGTAGTTTGTATTAAAATTGCCGTGATTTCTATTGTGAGTTACTGTAAATAATTCTTTTACAAAACTTACTCGCTATTCTAGTGACCACAATATGTGGTTAGTTTGCATTGGAATTATCATGAGAATTAATCGCCTAAAAAATTTTTTTAAAAAAATGAATCGAATTAGTATGTAATATATAATTTATATAAAAATACTATTCTTTTCATTTTTAATCAGTTAAAAATAACATCATATTTCATAATATTATCACATCACTTCCAGGAACATACGAATTGCTGTTATTATATCACTTCCTAAAAATTATACCTTTTTAAGAAAACACACAACAATTATATAACTCTAAGAGAATATACATTTTAAATATTATCACACCACTTCTGGGAATCATACCAAGAGAATGTATATTTTAAATGTTATCATATCACTTCTTAAAACTTATAAATTGCTGTTATTATGCCACTTCACAAAAAATTATAACTTTCAAGAGAACACAAATGACAATGATACAACTCCAAGAGAATGTATATTTGGTATGATGTACAGAATCATCATTTAATCATTGTAAATTAAAACCAAAATATTATACTTACTTTCTTATGTTCTTCAACAATTGAAGAGTCTGAATCTTTAAAATATTCAGTTAAGTAGAAAATATATACGGCCTTTTCGTTGTTGAACGATATGGAATCGTAGAACGTATTCATAATTGTATATCGCCAACAAAAGTAATCCTCTGGTGTGGTTTTTTGAATATCATATGTATCGAAAAATTCTTTAACATGTATCACTTTTGCTTTTTTTATGTCTTGCTGAAGTCTGGTGTTTGATGCAGGGCTTTTTTTTTTGAGAAAAATCCAACGAAGAAATAGTATAGTCACGCTAAAAATCAACAACACGCGACATGATTATTTATAGGGGCCATGTATGTATGTAAAATGTGAATCAGATGATTAAGAGAAATAAAATTTCACAGCATAATCAAAAAAAAAGATACGTAGTATGGTTAAAAATGCTAAGTATGGTAATTAAAAGATAATCATATACAGTACGGATTCTACCTTGAGAAATATTAAACAACAAACCGTTTTTTTTTGAGCCTCCTGGTTTTTTTTTATATATCGAGCATGCCATAGTATGCCCAAAAATGGGTATAAGGCATGCTACGTATCAGTATTCAGGTATTTTTTGCAGTGCGTTTTAAAAATAGAACCGAATAATATTTTTGACATCAAAAATAGTTACACGAGATGTTACTTTAAAATTTCGATTTTAATAAATTATATTACTGTATTATACGTATAGATGAATAATGATTATTACAGTATTATAATACGTATATACTTGTCAATTATATAGATTATACATACGTTTTGCATACGTACGCACGTACTTACGTATGATTTTTTTAAAATATAAATGTTAATTCAACGCAGTAAGTTCGTTCGGCTGGTATTTATCGATAACTATCATATAACTTATTAATTTTATTGATGCCGCCAAGATTCGTTAGACTGAACATTATATGTCTGTACGTTAATGAAATAAGTATATGTATATCTATAGTGTCTCCTGATTCCATTTATTTATTTAAAAAAAATCGTAAATTTTAATAAAGAAATAAACTCCGTGTCAGTTTCATTACAGTGCTTTTCAAATTACTGTGATCAGTGATTTTCATACATCACACCGGAAATCAGAAATCTAGAATAAATGCAAATCTGT